ATCTACTTCAGTTTCCTATCTCATAGTTTAGGGAGGTAACTTGATGAGGAGATTGGCAGAAAGAACTGGCCTCAGGCCCAGAGTTGCTGTATACATAGCAGGGTGAACAGAGAGTTAAAGATATTAAGGAGGGGAAAAACAGGAACCAAACACTGAGTTTCCAAAGATTCCGTTTCAACAAGCAAGAGTTGTCAAGCTGCTGCTTGCCTGAAGTAAGTTAAGACACTGCTAGGAATCCCAGCATAGAAGAGACAACTACTGTCTGACATTGTAACTGAAAAGATACTGTTTTACAGTGGTTGTCCTGTGCATATATCTCATCCTTTAATAATTTATTTGTCATATGTCACATTTATGCTGTTTATTGTGACAATAGTGCTAGATGCTTTTCATGATAGATGACGTGGAACATATCCCACCAAATAACATTATATACACCCCATCTCAGAGCTCACCTTAAGCCCTCACATATTCAGATAAATGCCTCAGTAGGGCTATAGGCAATTAGCATATTAGAGGAATACATATACCCAGTGTTGTGTTACTAGTTGTTAAACACTTGTCTGTATCCATGCAAAGAGTAGTTCACTGAGTGCTGCACAATCATTGGGAAAGGATTTGCATCTTGAACTTTTGGGCTGAAATTCAACACTCTCACTAGTAGGACTTGAGCTCAAGTTTATCAAATGGACTATTCTTACACGGAATACTTTATGAACTATGTGTAACTATGGCAATTAATCATCTAGAGCAATAGAGGAAGACCTAAGGTTCATGACCCAATCTGACCCTTTGGGGTTCCAAAGATGGGCACACTCTGTTCTACTTTCACATCGTTTACCCAGGTGTCTAATCCAGACATTTCATAGCTTTGTGCAGCCCCCCCCCCCCCGCAATTCTTAAAGGTTAGAATGCTTCCCTAAAAGCTTATTTACTGAACTGAAATGGGCTAGTATTTTTGCCATTCCTCTTCTGCCTATCCTTTTTGGCTTTGCCCTTGCTCACCCCAAAATGCCACTTCAAAGAGCATCTCTGATATGGAATCTGATATGCTGGCTGAAAATTGTTTGATACCCCTGATCTGAAAGTGTCTGTAATTATCCATTAGCCAGGAATGTTTTAATTGCTAATAATTTAGAACAATGTACTTTATTATAATTACATACAGTCATCCTGCATTGATTTTATAACAGTCTTCTTTATCCCAAGCTGTGGCCAGTTGAAGTATTTGTGTATTTTTCTATAAATTATACATAAAGCAATGTAAACAAGAAAAGTAATCAATGCAGCTTTGTAAAATAATAAAAATATTTAATGAAAAAGTTGAGAACAGGGCAGGAAATTCCGGGGAGTCATTTTGCTTAACAAACTCTTATTTCCTATGAAGCTTACATGGAGCTTTTTACTGTAATATCATTAGGTCAAACTCTCTAAAGTAGCACACATTCACACACCAAGTATTGGAATTCCTGGATCCAACATCATAATTCTTCAGATCTCCTCTGTCCTCCCCGCACCTCTCAACAGTTAACCATGCTCTGCGTGGATGTGTTGTGTTGATGCTTCCCATCTGTGCCTGCTACTGATCTTTATTCCCAGATCCTGCTTGACTGCTGCTTGCTTGCTTGCAGTTTCAGACCACCCAATAACGACAGTTCTGTGGCAGTGTACAAATAAAAACCTAAAATACCAAATAATGATGACAAAACAGCACAGGGTAAAATCAGGATAAAACCAGCAACAAGGGGCACAGACAATCGGCACATAACAAAATAAAACTAAAACCTGAAATAAAAATAAAACCAGCAGCAAAAATAGAAAATCACAAGTATCTAAAAGCACAAAAACTGCAGTTAAAATGCCTGTTAGAATAAAAAGTCTTCAGTTACCCCATCCCACATATAGGCACCAAGCAAACTCCTCTGGACAGGGCATTTCACAGGTGAGGCATCCCCACGGAAGGGGTTCTCTTGTAACGTCATGCCCTCCCTCATTTGGAAGGAGCTTCTTGATGAAAGCTTCAGGTCATAATTTAAGGGTCCAAATACGTAAATATAGTGGAGGAGTCACTTCTATATTTCACTTCAGCACCAACTAAACTCCTTTCCCAGACTTTATTTCACAGCTGCTTCAGTGTTTTGTTTAAGCAGCCATTCTGTTTTATCCTTTGCTGTTGCTGAGTAGCATGTATCCCAAGGTGGAGCAAAAGTCATTTTCAGCTGCTGCAGCAAAGGCACTAGTTTTTACATAATGTTGGCTCTGCCCAGTTGTAAGCCCTGAAGTTACACCACCTGGAATATTCTCCATGCCCACCTGTTGAAGAAGGAGGTCCTGCCAGTGTACATGCCTTTAAAAGTTCTCATTGCTTGAGTGTCCAGATTTTTGGATGCTCCACAGACATTTCTGGAAACCCAGCCATCAGATCTACACTGTGCTGGTCCTGCTGCATTTCACTGCAGCAAGGGTGGCTGATTTGCATGCTTTCTTCAGGTTTTATAAATATAGCAAGTTGACTGTAAAATCCAACTTTTTAATACCTTGGGAAGTAGTGAGATATAGCTGCTAACAGAAGACAGCTTGTTTAGTATAATACAAACTCAGAGGAAGCCACTTAAAGCCATGATCTAGTGTATGAGTGTCCTCTGGCCTAAATGCAACAGTGCCATGAAATCTCTACTCTGCCCTCCTATCTACCAAGCTATGCAGGAAGACAAGATACAGCACTGATGTGAGATTAGTAGCACAATCACAGTTCTAGATACTGACCTAGAAGAACAGCTGGAAAAAAACAGTGTCAACATGACAGCTTTTGGAGGCCAAGGAACCAGGTACCTGTGCTCTTCCTGCTATAACATCTGTGCTATATGTGTAAATGCTTGATATGACTTCATTCACGGGGTGAAAATCTAGGTGGGACATAAAACATTAACAAGGAGATAAAGGCAGGTAGTACAGATGATCCTAATAGTTACAGGATACTTTAAACAGGAAGTAAAGTATCTGAGGTAAGTAGAATGCCGTGGTGTGTTATTTTCTGTCACTTGGGAGTTTGGGGCACTTTTGAAATTTTACTTATTCCTTTATTTATTTATTTTTTCCTGAAGGGTCCAAGAGTTTACAATGAGAGTGACCAGAGTTCTTAAAACTGAAAAATAAGGGTAGCCTCCTGATTTGAGGCTCTCGTCATATAAGATGCCTTGCTTTAGCTACTTCTTCCCACTTAGATCATATGTAACGGATGGATTTTGGCATGCATCCATTGGGCTAGGAGTAGGCTTTATTAGGGTGCCTACTATTTGTGATTTGTTTGATTCCTGGTTGCAAACTGGAATGTTGTTTCTGTATGTGCTTAACTTCAGAGCCCTTCATGTTTGTCCTTAGCTTTTATTTTGGTCTAGCAGATCTCTTTATGACATTTGCTTCTCAACCAGTAACTTTTGTCACTTTCTTTTTCTCTGGTACCATTTGCTTTTGCTTTCTTTTCTTACTAATTTTGTAAGGTTGCATGTTAAAACATGTAACTTGTATAACCTTGTAAAGAAGCTGATTAGAGCAGATTTGATTCGAATTTAATTCAGAATTATAGTTTAAAAAAAAAACCCTGCTATTTCCTTGGACTGGGAAAAAATTCAGCAGCTTCACTGAATTTGAAGAATGATACCAAATTGTGCAGGGCCTGTCTTGAGCATAGAATGGAGCTACACTTATCCCAATGGATTAAAGCAGGCTGTAACATAAATGGGTCAGTGCATCAAAAGGTCCCCTCCCCCCAATGAATTGCTAAAAAAACCCACTGATTATTAATATATTGTTAAATTATTTCAAGGCTTTAACTTTACTTCTTTCCATTTTGTGGTAGCTCTGGAGAACTGGAACTCACAGTTTCCTCAGCAGCAATGGACAGAAAGTTTTTCTTTCTCGTACATGCATCAAGTATGCTTGACTCAGGACAAGGGCTGGAAGGGAGCAGGAGCCATGTTGCAAGGATGACTCATTTAGCTCATTAGCTGGAACATACAGCCTGAGTCTTTCTACGGAGACTCTGCATTCTGCTGTTGGGTCCTAAAGACAGCGCTTTCCTTCTTTCGGTGATAATGCTGTGAATGCAAGCCCGAAGCAGCGCCATCTAGTGACTTTTCAGACAAGCGCCAGGTTGCCAGATGACCCTGTCTACCCCTGTTAATGGCTATAGCTGGCAGTTGCTTGAAATTGAAAGGAGGGAGATTGAAGACCTGCCCCTTGATGTGAAAGTTCCTGTTTGTGCACATTTACTCTTCACATTTACTCTTTCTTCTCAAGCACATTCTTTGATCTGCAATAGAAGTGAACCTGAGAGGAAAATATATATTAATAACTGAATTTGTTCAGTTTAGAAGCTAGAACTATGTCAGGATCCATATGCAACAACGCCAAGCACATTTCAAGTATGTCATGCCTTATACTTTTGCTTGGGGCAAGACCAAGGCTTGGTAGCAGAGCACATACTTTACCGACAAAAGCTCCCAAGTTCAATCTCAGACATTTCCATATAAGCCATATAAGCCAAGGGACTCATCTTTTAATACCCCTGAGGGGCTACTGTCAGTCAGTCAGTCCTGAGCTAGATGGATGACTGGTCTGACTGTTTCCTGTGTTCTTAGGTCTCGAGATTGTCTGGAAGTCTTGTGATATATAATGGTCATGATTCTGTGAGTTGCGTTGATCTGAGTCGCTGAGAGAGATCAGACATCATGTGGTGCATGTATATTTTGTGTTGGGATAACGTGTACTAAGGACAAAGAGTGGCTTAAGAAATGGCCCTGTGATAGCAAAATATGTCAACCTTGTGGGTCAGGCTACCTGAGTATATCACCATAAAGCAGCCTTCCCCAACCTGGGGGCCTTCGGAAACATTCGGACTTCAACTCCCAGAATTCCCATCCAGCAGGGCCATTGATTGGGAATTCTGGCTATTGTAGCCCAAGCATGTCTGGAAAGCACAAGGCTGGGGAAGGCTTCCAAAAAGCATAGTTTAACTCGTGTGTGAGCAGCCAGTGGGTTGTATGCAGGCCTTACAGGGGGACGGATCTCCTGCTGCCTGCCAGTCCCCCCTAGCTGTCCCCAGGGTTTTTACCTTCACATTGATACTGCAGGCTAGACAATGCTCTGGCAGCCTCACTGCCTACATCTGAGGCTTTTCAAAGCCTAAATTCTGCAGGGGGATGGTTGGGGGTGTTGCAGCTGAACCATCCTCCAAAAATGCCTCTGTGCTTCACTTGTGGCATGGGAGGGAGAGCAATCCACTATCTTCCAATGAAGTTCAGTGTGGATGCTGAATGGGTATCTCCTGTGGGGCAGAGGTTCCCCATCCCTGATCTAGGTTTAGGTTTGCTTTATGCTGCAGAGGCTGTTAGTGAAGTTCACAGTAGTGCTGGAAAAGGTTTCTCAGAATTATTTTAGCCCTCCAGTACTTTTTCTGTAACTGGCAGCTGTGTAAATAATTAGAAGCTTGATTACAGGATATCTTTCTCTTTAGTCACAGATGTGGCTGATCAAGAACATTATTTATTGAGGTCTTACTTTTTAGGTATCTCTCTTATTCTTACCAAATCTCCATCTGAAATTTTTAGGAACACTTTTTTTCTCTAAGGAAGCAACAGGTTCTGCATATGATGGCAGGATTTATTCAACTAATATTGCAGACTAGAAGCCACAGACTTCGCATAGAATATTTCCACTGACTCTTGAAATACATGGCTTATTCCTTCTGCTATTGTCATTTGCAAATTTAAATGTCTGTAATACATATACAAGTTGTAAAAGCCAATAATTGGTGATGGCATGGAAGGGGGATGCAGAAATGAATCTGCACATCATGTATTGATTTTATTGTTAATTTTTGTGCTTATGAACTTCATAGAATACTAGCGTTGGAAGGGGCCATGAAGGCCATTGGGTTCAACCCCCTGCTCTTGCAGGACAACATTTTACACCATCCCACTGAGATGGCTGTCCAGTTTCTGACTTGTTTTATATTATGGTTGAACACAGGTAGACTATTTTTATACTTCTATGCCAACCCAAGGCTCATAGGCTCTCTGTGTGGTTTACAAATGTAAATGACATATAAACAACCAGTAAAAATCATGTATAAATAAAACAATAAACAGTAAAACCATTACAACATGATCAGCAACCCACAACAACTGTACTAAGACTGATACATTGCGATGTTTGGGGCTTGGCCACCACATAAACCAGACTCATGGGCAGTAACAGTTGTTAGTGGGGATAAGACTGAGAGCTGGAGGAGAATTATGAATTATAATTCATAATTATGATAATTAAGAATTATCAAGTAAATTAACATTTGGGGACAGTTTTAATACACTATGCTTAGATTTGTTGAAGAAGAGTGTAAATGTTCCTGGGTAAATTTAATTGAAATGCAAGTTCCATTGATTTAAAGAGGTTTTTCCTAAGTATGACTCATGTTGGATTGAACCCATTGTTCCTGGTTATTTATTTATTTAAAACTGTTATATGCCGTCCCCTATGCATGTCCTCTCGAGGCGGCTCACAATCATAGGTTTGTAGTTCCTCTAAGATCTAAATGTATGCCTTTCCTTGATTATATGATTAATTTTCATAAAACAAATAAGTCTACCTGTTGCTCAAACATGTTTATGGCACTTGACTTGGTTTTCATCATGAGTCTTTCATCACATATACAGTATTCCATGTTTTGTAATTCAGATTCATACTCCCAGTACTCTGGGCTTCGGAGTTCTTCTGACTCTGTTCTCACCTACTGATTTTAGCTGAATGACTTCATGAAAGGACTGAATGATCCCATTCAGTTTTACTTTATAGCTTTTGTTTTCCTTATATGAATACAGGCAAGCGTTAACCTTTAACTGATTCAGACTGACACTTGACTTCAATAATTGATAACCTCTCTGTGCTACTATGTACTCTTGCTTCTACAACATAGTCTCACAACTTACTGTGGTTAATAGAAGCATGAAAATTGGCACAGTAGCAAGGTGTCTACCAAATACAAATATGGTCATAATAATGGGCAGTTATTAAGTGAGCTACTGTGTATTCTTGCTTCTAGATTAGTCTTACAACAGATTGTGGTTAATAGGAATGCATACCAGTACAGTAGAAAAATGTCCACAAAACAGAAATGTGATGTTAAACATGGAGTTATTAAGTGAACAGAAACTTCCTTATTCTCAGCTTAGTTTTCTTCCTGTTTGCCCTTGTTTCCCTGAAGTCCTCCATTTCTTGTTCCTCCTTTCTCTCTCTTGCCTTTCCTTAACACCGTAGCATTTTTTCAGTCTCTACTTCTTCTACCAGCTCTGTTTTCCTTTTATAGTTCCCTCTCCCCCATTGAATTCATGTCCTGCTTGTGCGCTGCCCATAGGTACCCATTTGACTGTGAGAACAGAGTGCTAGATTAGCTTGAAAGCCTTTGTTCTGATCTAGATCTCTGGCTTATGTTCTTGTGGTCTTCCACTTTTTAACTTCCTTTGGTTCTTGCTATTGTGCCACACTTCTTATTCTATTTGCCTTGCCTGTTGAATTTCTTTTGTGTTTCGAAGATAAAATAGGCTTCTTTTACATATTTACATTTTTAAACTCTTTTCCTAATGTATTCCTGGACACATAATTAACGTCTGCAGAATGAACTTTGGACCCCAACAGATATGAAATGGTTAAACTGAAGTTCAGACTGTTTGGTTGCTTTGCAACCTGTTGGTTTAACTAGCTTGCTAGTTAGTTTTAGGAACTGGAATCATTCTGAATGGTTGTATAAAGTTATGGACGCATTTTGCAGTTTGTCTGGTGGTGTTATAAAGGTACTGAAATATCCAGCTGGCATTCCTGAGGCTTTCTGTTCTGCATTGTGTGCATGTTTGTGTGTGCATGCATGTTTTGGAGAGGATTATAAGCAGCTACTAACTCAGGCTGTTACATTAGTTCCTCTAAGGTTTCTGATGATACTTTTTCTTGCATAGGGCAACAGGAGTTCAGGAGAATATGGACAGATGGCCCTTGCCTGCAGAGAGTTATATGAATCATGATTATAAATAGTATTTACTGTATAACAACTTGAGAGTCTTTCCATAAAGGCAGCATAGAAATAAGCACATGCTTATATTGAGGAGGATATTGTCAGCTGATGTGATGTTTTCAGGTGTCAGTGTCCCTAGGACAACGGAAAGTTGCAGAAAATTGTTGATCTTCCAGTTCTGAAAACATAAAATCCAGCTGTTAATTCAAAACTGCCTTCCATCCTAGATAAGTAGTCTTCAACTCCTTTTACCACCAACCAAGAAACCTGTTCGTTCTTCCTCCCTCCCTCCCTCTTCCCCTTTCCCACAAACTGCTTTTTGTAACATCTTGCCTGATAAGAGATCTAGAGATCTTTAAAAAAAAATGCACATTTTCTTATCGTAGGCCTAGTAAAAGTATTTCATTGTATGAATTTTTGAAAAGTTTGCTATGTTGATTTTACACACTGCAGAAGTTTCTTATTCAGAAGTTTCTTTAGTACTCAAAAATACTTAAACTGACATGCTGGGTGGGGGAATCAAAGTATATTTAATACAGTTTTCATGTTGTATCAAAATTAATTCAGGTAAATTTTACTTGCAAATTCTTTATAGGAATTTTTGTGCATTTTTAAAATGATTTTTTTTTGGTCAATGGCAATGCCATTTGCACTCTCCTTACATTGTTCATGGGGAGTACTGAAAGCTGTTAACATGAACATAAGTCTACTAAAAATTTGTCCTGGTGATTTGGTCTGCACATTGGTTTGGACATGGGAGTTGTTGTGCATAAGCTGCTTTATTGCACAGCCTATTATCAGTTCCTTTTTGGGTGTTGCTGTGTGACTTCCAAATCTGAACCACTGAACTGTTAGAGACTGAACAGAAATAAACCATGGGTTAACCACTGCACAATTTACTGGTGCGGCAGAAAATAATGTCAGAACTGAGGATGAACAATTATCTGCAACTTTCTTGATTCCACTGGTCTAGGGAAATCCCCAGTGGCCTTCTGAAAAAAATACAATCTCAATTTTGCAATTGATTGGTTTACTTTATCTCGGACACTTATTAATGATATGTAGCATGTTATTAATATTATGTAGCAATGATTTTTAAAATGGAAATCCTGTAGAGAAAAATAGCGGCAGAACACTTGCCCTGAGGGGGGACCCCCCACCCATTTTTAATAAACTTAAAAAGAAATGTCTGGATCAAAAAACTTACTGGATCAAAAAAAACCTTAAAAGCTCAACAGCTATACAGTAGCACCATTTGCCTTATCTTCTTTAAGACACAGCCCAGCCTATGCCATATCTCAAACTACGCTTGAATTCTTGGTTTCAAAATTTGTTGTGTCATGGGGACAGGGGATGGTTGGCTGAGGGATTGATGAGCTGGTTCAAGAAACACAAGTCCAAAGCTTTCATGGACACACAGAACCAGTTATACTGTGATTACACGACGATATGTTCCTGTGTTAAAAATAGTTATTTCAAGGAGTGAGATTTTATTGACTTTGACACCCATTTTCATCAAGATACTCATATCCTTCTGCCGAGTGACTAAAAATAAATTACCTCTCAGTAAATGTGGCCAGCTAAAGTCCACTATGATCTATTCTCTCTGTAGTTTTTGTAACATCACAGAAGAGTGAGGGCAACATTACACAAAGGGAGAAAATTATTTAAGCACAGTCTTCTCAGACTCTGGCAAGTTCTGAAAACAGAGCAATTAATGTACATCAGCAAGGGCTTCTGGTGTGACCATGTTAGATAAAATTAGACTCCACCTCCCTGTTTTTACTAGTTATCTGCCAGGACCTTTGTGACTCAAGTGTACTTCACTGTAATAGCAAATGTTACATAAACCGAAACATGGAGCCTGTTTGGAGTTTGTGGGCAGACTCAAATTATGATGCAAAGCTTTAGTAACAAGTGTGCAGTGAAGCACAATCAAATTATGTGAATGGGGGAGTGCAACAAGAAGGCTTTCCAGAACAGCCTTTTCCCTTTGCACAGGGCTTGAAAGCTCTGGGTAACTTTTCTGGTGCAATTTTCAGAGGCAGGAATTGGCAGGGAGCCCAGATCTGAATGGAGTTTGCAGAAGGTTGGTATACTTCTGTACTAACATGACATGAAGCTAAGAGACTTACTCTTTGTACGTTTTTCTGAGTTTGTTTGTTTGCTCTGCCAGAGGTGGAGCTGAATAGTGTTGAAGTCGGGTAGATGGCCTTTGCAGAGTTAGTTGATCAAAGTGGATAATCTCAAAATGAGGGATTAACTGCTGCAAGCGGCCCACATAAGCCATTCTGAAATGTGATTTGGCCAAAGTTCAAGAGCAGATGGGAGTTGAGTTTGCTATTTACTCAGACGAAATGCTGAGGTTTGCATTGAGCTTTACACTATTTTAGAACATGGTAGCTCTTTTCAAACTGTATTGTAAAGACGTGCAACTGTTTACAAAGCTGATGTTACAATTTCAAGATTAACATTTTTCATGCTTCAAACTCTTAAACTGTTGTTTTGTTCATCGTATTTGTGCCTAAAGTGTTTCTGTGATCAAAGTAACTTCAGTGAACAGACTGCAATCTGTTTTAAAGCAGCTACTCTATACAAGTTTGAAATCCGTGGTTGTATAAAAAGAGAAAGCATTTAAACAAGGGAAATAACAAAGGAGACAAATGAAGTTATTTTGTGTAATTCTTTCAGCCCTCTAAAACTGAGCACTGTTTTGTTTTGTAGATTTATTAATAAACACAGGCTTAAAAGAATAATTTTGCAGCTTATCACCTGAAGAACCTATTTAAATGTACTACACTGCTCAAGTGATCTATGTAAATTTACAAGACAGAGTGCTGTAAACTCGTGCCTTTTGTGTACAGCAGGCATGAGCACTCTGCTTTTTTAACACTGCCAATGAGCAATCCTGTACATTTTTACTCTGAAGTAAATCCCATAGCATTCAGTGGGGCTTTCCCCAAGAGAGGCAAGTATAGAATTCAGGCTAAGACAATTAACGATGATTTATTTATCTTCATCTTTTGCATCCAAGTTTCCAAAATGCTGGCATGTTTTTCTTAATAGATAACACTCATGTAAATATATAATAAAACAGTTTAAAAGCTTTCTGCTATACAAACACTGGTTACTGCTTCTTATGTATGTTTTGCATCATCACTTGATTGTATCAGTGCCAATAGAGAAATGGCATGCTAAAACTTTTGTTGTGGTCCTTCTGGGCAGCACATAGTAACCATATAGCAGCAATCTAGAAGGTTTTGACAGCCTAACCACATTGAAGGAGGCTTTATAGTGTTAATAGAAATAACCAAAACATATTTTCTCCTTAATGGCAAGCAAGTTGTTGCTACTACTGCAGAGGCCTAAAAAACCTTCTCCCATGCAAATTCAAAATTTGTGTTGAAAATAATACGTATTATTTATACTGAGGTGTGCTTTTGTTATTATTAAACTCTAATATAATCTTTTATCCTTTTCTGAACCCTTCCCTAACCACAACAAAAGGATAAATTACAACGTTTATTTCTTTACATCTGTTATGATTTTTCTGTGCCCCTGAAGTTATTAGGATATAAATTGGGGGATTTGAAAAATCCACAAATGAAAAAATGAGCACATGACTGTTTCAGCTGTCATCATATACTCCCTTGCCCCTCTTAATAGTTTAGAATCCCATTGAGCTGAGACACTCTGGCCTTGGAATAGAGGAATCCCTGCAGTGTTGAGTAATGTTTTCATCAGAAATTGTGAGTGAATTGACAAAGAAAGTGCTAGAAACTCAATCCTATGTAACTGTAATATAAGTAGGCATTAGAAGATTTTTCACTTATGTTTTCTGTTGAGGGTTTGGAGCTAAATGAATGAGCCTGAGAGTTAATGTCCCAACTGTGTACTGCAAACCTCCCATCCCTATTACCATTCCTGCTTTCCAGGAAGAGTATAACTTGCTTTGTTTTCATACAACAGCTAACTAACAGGAAGTTAGGATATCATACCACACAATTGGAATGCAGTATAAATGTAAGTTGGAGTAGGAAGTAAGCAAGCTTGAGATTTATTCATGTAGTATCAAATCATGGGTTGGCATTATGTCTGAACTGGCTCATTCTCTAATTGCAGTTTTCTTTGATCTTCATTGTACAATTTAATTCATAAAGTATCTTACAACTTATTTAAGTTTGCTTTTGCATTATATATTATATACTCTTTATTACTTGCATTGAATTTCATCCTGCCCCTTTTGCCATGAAGAGGTGATGAAGAGTATCTAACTTGTCTTCTTTGCAGCACTATTTTTTCAGTTATTACTTTGGAATAATAAAATTCCAAGAAAATAAAAGCATGTACCCTAGCATATTTTTAGGTGTCTGTACTCAATAATTCTCCTTAGTAGCCTTTTCAAATCTGTTTAGCAATGTAGTGGTGGCTGTAAAAATATTTGATTCAAGAACAACAGAGAGTTTTGTCTTAATTGAAAGATAAAGGCTATAAGATAGTTGTTTGGAGAAAGGAAATCAGAATTTAGGAGTGGAAACATTCATAATGGTTATTATGATATATTAATTCCTATTATGAATGTTATACTGGCAGCTTCTCAAAAAAAAAACTGCCATAAAACTAAGTCATGTGATGGATTAGTTTATTATGCTAATACAGAATAGTAAGGAGGACGTGTGACTTCTGTGAAAATGGAGAATGACCATTTTCTTCCTTCAGCCCGGTATGCTACAGTATTGCTTCTGATAAGTTCTTATGACAATTCTACGTAAGATTGCTGCCTGTCACATAATTCATTATTTGAAAATCACTGATAGGGATTATTTCAGCAACACAACAAAGCTGACGGATGGTTAAATCCAGTCCATTTGCACACCTTAGAAGTCCCCTAACTCTCAGGGCATTGAAAGGACATAAGGAGGCTGCCTAAATAAGTAAAGGAAAAGGAAAATACATTTCACCAATGGTATCCATGCGATACAACCCAAAGGAATTGAGTGTGGCATGGCCCTATGAAAGAAAAGGCTCCGTGAAACTGATTTGAGACTTTCAATAGAGGAGCACGATATCACTGGCAAAGCTAACTCTGGATAAAGCAGGAATGCAATGTGGTATTCATATATCCATTTGAACATTTCTGTATAGATTTTTTTAAATAATTGAGCATTTCTTACACATCTTTTCCTGACTGGAAGTTGAAAATGCATGGAAAGATGAAGAGGATACTATTTCTGCCCAGTGATACATGTAGCAAAGCATAAATTAATTGTGCAACTCATATAATCATGAAAGGTAGCTCTCATTTATCTGAGCATAGTTTTGTGACACTAATTATAACCAAAGTGGGGAAATGTCTGTATATTGTTAGAACTATCATTGTGCTTTTAGCTGTTTAGAATCTTTCTAACCTGATTTCCATTGTACACAGGCATCACTTTCAATTTATTTTCAAATTTTGTACTCTGTGTTGATATTCTAGGTTTGCAGTGAGAAGGAACCATGTGTTTTTTACTTCAAAAAATTTAGAAATTAAAAAACTGAACAAAAATTATGCAGCAGTGACTCCTGTGAACAGCCATGCCTTCAGCCAAATCTGTCCTTTAAACATCGCAAATTTGAGGTCTTAGTGCCCCTTCTAGGTCAGGGATGGGGAACATGTGGCCCTTCAGTTGGTCTGCAGCTCTCCTATCTTTAACAGTTCACTGTGGGAGTTGTGTTGCACCATCTGGAGGGCCATACAGTCCTTCTAGACGTAGCTTCCTTAATTTTCCTAGATACCATTTCTTAAGCTCATATCAAGGGTTCATATCAAGCAGAGCCTTTAACTCCAGCCAGCCAAAATGTGTCACTGATGATAAGAACTCTGCTGGATCAGAAGGATCGGAGCTCTGTCTGGATCAGAGCACTGTCTGGTTCAGCATTATGTTCAAAACATGGACAGCCAGAGGTTTATGGGAAACCCATGGCAGGACATGGATGCTTATGCCCGCTGCCATGCTAGGGGAGGGGCTAGTATGGGCTGTATTTTTCCACTTAGCTGAAGTCAGCAGCCATCCTTTTCCCAAGAACCATTCAGAAGATTCCACTGCAGAAAGCCAATAACAGGGGTCCTGCTGACACTACATGTTGCTTTTTAGTCTTAGGCTTTGCATTGTATATTTCTACTCATTCTGGACCAGTCACCTCCTAGTATTTCTACAGATCAACAGAAACCCTGTATGCATAAGTGTATACTTAATAGGTCAGATTCTTTGTGATAGCTGATCAGATAAACATTCTTGTTCTGCTGCAATTTCAGGAATTGGACAGATTAATAAATTTTTTTTAATGAAACAGTTGTCATATATCATTAGAAAATGCTTGCTCACAATTGGATAGAAAGCATGTATTAAAAGATTCTGGGAAGCTGACAAGTGAACTAGCTAGATTCTGGTTAACAAAAATGAAGTCCAAAACAGTGGTTATCAAACTCCCTTCCCCTCTTGACACTTGAAAAGTGCTGGGAATCTTAGCAGATTGTTTTACAAATAGCATATTATATTAAAATGCTCTCTTTCTCTTGAAGTCCCCAACTTTCTGTTATGTTGAGACTCATTCTTCTTTGTATAAATATGTTCTGAGATGACAATATAGACCAGCATGATGTTATTAAGAGTGTTCTCATTTTAGGCTGTGGCAGCTGTGATCCCTATCACTGGTGTAAGCTGTTCCTTTTATTGTTTGTTTTTAATTTTATCATTTTATAGTGTGCAGTTAGACTACATTATACTAGAATTAGTTTTATTACGGTCTTTATTAATGTTGTGACTGGATACTATATAGTTTGATTTAAGAAGAGCTATTATGATTGTGCTGTTTATCTTCTAGCCCTTAAGAAGCCTAGGGGTAGGAGTACCAACAAATCTGTACATAAGAAAAGCCATGCTGGTCAGTCCATGCAGTCCAGCATTTGGATTCTCCAAAAATAACTTTCCATTTCATTTTAGTTTGCTCTTGTCTTTGGCCTGTTTTTAGCTCATTTGAACAGAAGTGTATAGTTTAAATGGAAAAGTGTGCATTTCTGTGCATGTTTTTCAAAAGTAGTGTACT